AAAGTAGGTTGGGACTTTACAAGGAGGACCTTAAAAGCCAGGCTAAGAGATTTGGTCTTCATCCTGAAGGCTTGGGAGCCACAGAAGTGGAAGGTCCCTGGAAATCACACTCTAGAACTGTGTAGATGTTGTGACAAGATTGCTACCACGTCTGTTTTACAAGGTGCTCTAAAGCAGTGCTTCTCAAACCATCTGTGGAGAAGGACCATTTTTAAAAATTTCTAATCTGTTACAGACTAATACTTTTATGAAATGCAAGGAAAATGAATTACTTGAAAAATAAAATAAAAAAAATACAAGCCTTTTTTTTAAAAACTATAACATTCAAGACATACAATTGCGCTATCAAATTGCACTACAAATTTTCACCCTTAATTTCTGTGTTCTTTTTGATAGAGATGCTCTTGTCCCGGGAGTCTCTGTTACAGACACACATCTAGGACAAATAAGGGTTCTCCCAGTAAGAGCTAAGGGCTGTCAAACAAATCCCATTTTGGTGATGTTCAGAGAAGGTAAGCAGCCTGCCCAGGATCACACAGCAGAGGAGAGGCAGGGCTAGGACGTAAACCCAGGGCTGTCTGCCTTATTGAGACTGTCTACCTCAACCCACCTGGCAGCTCCTGCCTAGTCCCTCGGCAGAGCCCTTTGGCCTGGCCCCGCAGCCTTGTCCCAGCTCTTAACACAAGGTTAAGAGCCCTGCGGATGGGGAAATGGATCCAACGGAATGGAGTCCAGGGTCCCATGCAAGAGGGTGGCGGAAGTAGCCAGCCCTCAGATCTCCTGATACTAGTCTGTGCTCAGTTTCACCACTCTGCCTGCCCTAGGCCTGGCCTCCAGGTCAGATGGTGCCAAGGAGGGCAAAGAGAAGGAGGGGCAGGAAGAGGCAGGAGACTCATCAATTTCTGACACTTAACCAGTGCTTTGTCGTTCTTAATTAGCTCAGCAGCTCCCTAAGCAAAGAGCTCCTCGCAGAAGCAGGAGATAGTTGATGGTCCTACCCAGGTGGGTAGTCTGGGTGGGTAGGAGCCCCTCAGGAGCACGTTCACCATCCCCTTTAGGTGCTGCTGCTTCTCCAACCGCAGAGGGTCCTCTCCCCCCCCACCCCCCGCCTTGCTGGGCAAATGCTGATAACCAGAGGACAGAATATGAGTGGAGTCCTTGGATGTGTACTGGGCATCTCCTTGGTGCCAGGCCCTGGTCAGCTGCTTCAGGGACCCCTGGGGTGAAGGATAATTCCCAGCCCCCATGCCTGGGGCATGTTCAGCTGATGGAGGAGGTAAACAGGTTCACCAGGAACCGTAAAACATGAATGGTCACCTGACTTACCATTGACAGAGCACTTGGCCCCTGGCAGGCACTAGGCCAAGCATTTCCCCCATATTATCCAACAGAAGCCTTACAAAGCCCTCTATAGCAGCTTTATGCCCACTGCACAGATGGGGAAACTGAAGTCCGGTTGGCTGAGTTTGCATTTATAGAGACAGAGGATTTGGTTTTAGGGCCCAGCTCTGTAGAACGCAAAGGTCAAAGAGTTATCACTGTTTGCCAGGGAAGACAAGTGTGTGGGTAGCTGTGACCGGGTATCAGGGAGGAAGCCAGCTAGGTCTTTGGGGCAAAGGTGGGTAGTCTGGGAGAGTTGAGGAGGCATTCTGATTGGATGTTTCTGGAAGAGGAAGGATCATGGGAAGGCTCTGAGGAGGGAAGGGTTCAGAAGCAACTGGTTGGAGTGGCTGGATCAGTGGAACACGGTAGGCAGGAGAGGTCCCATGGGTCAGGCGAAAGGTCAGAGCCGAGTCTAAGCAGTAATCCCTGGGCTCCTGACTCACCAGTAACCCAAGTTTCCTCTGAATCCCTGTGAGAGGGCTGAGCAGTCAGGAGCGGGGCAGTGGGGTAGAGGGGAGGACTCTGGGGGAGCTCAGACTGGGCCAGGCTGGTTCCAATTGCAAAAGAGCTCCCTTCCCTGGGGGCCAGTAAAGAATTATGATAATAATAACCATTCCACTTTTACTGCTCATCCAGTCAGAAAAGTGATTCTAGTTTTATTAAAATATGCAACCTATGTATATAGCACTTATTATAGGCCAAGCATAATCCTAAACATGTTCCAAACGTTAACTCTTTTAATTCTTGCAACGATCCGTGATGTATAATCCCCATTTTACAGATGAGGAAACTGAGGTCCATGGAATTTAAGTGACCCACCTAAGATCATGAAGTAAAGGTATGGGGGAGACAGGATCTCGGGCTCCAGTATCCACGTGTTAAGCACTGTGCTCTGCTGGTGGGGGGCAAGAAAACATACTCTGTTGTAAGAACTACCGTTTTACAGATGGAAAAACTAAGTCCAAGCCAGGTAAAGGGACTGGCTCAGGCAAGTAGGGAGGACAGATCGCTTGAGAAAATCAGGGCTCCTGGTCCTAGGCTAGGCTTCTGTCCTCACCCCACTGCAAGTCCAAATGATAGCTGGAGAGAAGCCGAGACCCCTCCCAACCTGCATGCACCCACTATCTTCCTGGGGTTCCATGAGGGCCTCGTGGGGGAGAAAACAGTAAAATTACAATTCTGGTACCATTTTCCTAAAGACAAAAGCCAGTTATAACTAAGGGTAGCTTCTCCCTCTCTTTTATTTATTTAGTTTTCTTTCTGATTACAAAAGGCTATATGATCGTGGCAAAATTTTTTTACAAAGTTAGAGCAAATGAGAAAAAAAGAGAGATAGAGAGAGAAAAGAAAAAAAAATCACCTTAAAATTCTTCCTTGAATACTGGTGTATTTTCAAGATTTCTCTGCTCCTTCTGTTTTTATAAGCATCCAAGACAGGAAGCAAGAGATTTGGCTTCCAGTCCTGCCTCGCTGTGTGACCTTGGGCAAGTCCCTGCCCTTCCCTAGGTCTCAGGCTCCTCACCTGTGAAAGGAGGTTTTGGGCATGGTGACCTCAGAGGAGGCCCCTTGCAGCTCTGACCTTCTGTTTCTGCTTCTGTTCCTGGATTGGCAGAAGAGGCACAGGCAGACTGCCCCTCTGCAGGGGACGCATGGCTGACAGCTCCCAGCAAGTCACCTCCGGGACGATGTGATAGGCCTGGAAACAGCCTTCAGTGCAGGCTCAGTGTTCCCAGGCCTGCCTGCTCCCTAGGCCCATATGGTGCCCCCTGCCAGCCGGACACCACCAGCTGCCCTTCACCTGCCAGCCCTGGGTGATTGCTTTTCCTCCAGGCTCCAGAATGCTCTCTCTACTGCCCCAGGACCCAGAAGGCTCAGGGAAAGAGAGCTGGGGGGCTCAGCCCCGAGGACCTACGTACCCATTGCCACAGCACTTTTGGGGGAGAAGATAGCCTCATATGGTAAAAAGCTAAAGAGAGGGAGAGAGGGAAGGAGGGAAGAAGAGAGGAAGGAAAGGAACATTGCCTGTATTCCAGCTCATCTGGACCCCTTGCTAGGCATTCAGAAAATGAATCAGAAAAACTTATTGGCCTTGAAGGACCCAAAGTCTAGTGGAGGCAATCAGAGTAGACACAGGCAGCAACAACACTCTCAATGGTGAGAGCTCAGGTCTGTGGGATCTCAAAGGCAGAAGCCTAACAGATGGGTGGCAGTCAGGGAAGGCTTTCTGGAGGTGAGCTTTCAAGGACAGATCTCTGCCTTTCCAACTCATGAGCTCATGTTCTTAATTCTTACAGACAGCCCTGTGGCATAGGTGTTGTTGCTGCTTTTACAGGTGAGGCTCAGAAAGGTAAGTTCACAACCACCAAAAGAAGTCAGGTTCAAATTCCCAGCATTCCACTCTGGACTACAAGCCTCGGTTTGAGTTTGATCCCAACCTCTGACTTGTAGAGACCCTTCTTGAGTGCTTCTCTCCCAGACTTTGAAATCTTATCTATAAAGTGGGTGTATTATTGCTGGCTGCAGGGTTTTGGAGGAGCAAAGGACAGATGGTGGAAAAAGCACTTAGTTTAAATGTCAGCGGGGCCTCACCGTCCAGCTGGGGACAGCTCAGCCCCATCTTTCTCCCAGCACAGGAACAGGACTCTTGTCTTCTGAGCTAGCAGCAATCTTAGAGGCTGAAGTTCACCTTTGCCTAAGTTCCCCATCTAGAAGAAGCCAGACTGTGGCATGGAGGCATACGCTCTTTTGACCGCAAAGCCCAACAGTTGAGTATAGGATCCTAGAGAGAATTCTAAATCTTGGACTTCACACATCTGTGCTGGAGGAATTCTAGAATCCAGACTGCCGGCAAAATGCCTCCTACTAAGCATGGCAGGCTCTGGGTCCAGGTCATGCAGCACCTGACCTTGGCAGATTGGAAGGATCACTAGAAATAGGATCCCATCTCCTTTGACAGATAAAGATTAAGACCTAGAGGGGGGAAGGAATTGCCTCAGATAACAGAGCAAGTCAGTGTTAGACCCTAATACCCAGGCCATATCACCACAGGGGGAATGGAGTGGGGGGTGGGGCAGCCCTGGAGCCCTGATCCTGCCAGAGAGCAACCTGGGTGCTGCTGGGTGAGTAAAATGCCGAGGTGGTCTTACTAAGGAAAACTTTAATAGTCCTGCCCAGTTCCCAGCAAAGTCCTACTACTCTCACCTCTCCTTCTAAGCCTCCCATTGCCCTCCGCATTACCCTCCTCTCGGGCAAGACCCTTCTCTCCGACCCTAGGTCTAACCATCTGTAAAACAGTCCCCAAGTATCTTATAGCTGGGCTGCCTAGAAATCCTAGGAATAAGGGGATTGGGAGAGGGGGAAAAGAAGGGGCCACTCGGGCTTTGGGCCCTCTACGTCAGAGGTGCCCGTTGTGTGGACTCCCTGGAGAGCAAGAGCAGGAGCCCGGGCTGGGCGGGGCGGTCGGGGGCGGGGCAGGGGCGGGGCCTGGCCGGCCATCACCCCGCCCCGTCGGACGTCGGCGCGGAGCTCGCGCCGCGGGGGGAGGAGCGCGAAGCCCGCGCGCCGCGCGGCCCCGGCGGAAAGTTTTCCCTGACGGAGTTTTGGCTGTGGCGGCCGGAGCGGCCATGGACGCGCTCAAGTCTGCTGGGCGGGCGCTGATCCGGAGCCCCAGCCTCGCCAAGCAGAGCTGGGGGGGCGGCGGCCGGCATCGGAGTGAGTGTGTGTGCGTCCGCCGGGCCGGGCGGGGGCCGGGCGGGGGTCCAGGCCAGAGGGACCGGCCTCCCGCGGGCGCCGGGGGACAGAGGCGCGGTCTTCCCGGTGCCCTGCGGCCCTGCAGGGTCCTGCGGGGGTTGGGGTCGCCGGGGGTCAAGTCGCGCTCTGCCCCCGGCGGGGACACTCCTGTCCCCGCTCTGTGCGGCTGGGAAGGAGGGGCAGAAGCTGGGGGAGAGAGCGGAGCTCGGGGTCCCCAGGTGCAGACGGCAGTCGGAGGGGCCGCAGGTGAGGGGAAGAGACGTGCGCGAAGCCCGGCACTGGCCACTTCGCCTCGCTGGGCGGCTGAGGGGAAACAGTGCTCGGGGTAGGAGGAGTGAGCGCTGGGTTTGGGGAGATGCCTGTAGCCCTGCGCCCTAGATGCGAGGTCCGCGGTCGGTGGGAGCCCATTTGGCTCCCCCGCCTCCCGCCACCCCCTCCGCCAGCCCTGGAGGTCGTCTTTGGGCTCCCAGACGCCCAGAAACCGACTCAGGTGTGAGCGGGCTTCTCAGGTACCTACTTGAGTTGGGGGAGAGACTCAAGCCTGGGGTCTCAGGAGGTTTCACACCCCGAGTCGTCCAGACCCCTGCGGCCCCTACTCTTGGCTCGCGTTCCGGCTAATTTTTGAAACCTGTTTTCTCTCGCACTTTCCCCCTCGGGCTTCCGAAGTCCCAGGGCGCCCAGGCGTATGGCAGACTCGTCGCCACCTCTCCCCTCTCCCGGGGGCATCTGGGAGGCCGGGAGGCCCCCCCCTCCCCGGCTCTAATTACTCTCAGGGAACCCGTCACCTGGCACCTTCCCCTGAGGCCTGAGAAACCCGGCCTAAGTCCCTCTTTTTTCTCCAGGAGAAAGGGAGTGGATTGCCTGGGGTTACACAGGCCGTCCTGGTAGATGTGGAGCGGGAGCCAGGACTTCTGTACACGCCCACCCTCCTATCAAATACCTGGGACTCCAGCTTCTCCCCTCCCCCTCTCCCACCTCCCCCCGCCCCCCGCTAGAAACCACTGACAGTACAGTCACACGCCACCAACCCCGTCCTTCTTTCCAGGGCTCCGCCAGGGGAGCCCGAGTTCCCAGTGCCAGCGTGTCTGGGCCTAGAAAGCCCGCCCTGCCCCTCCCTCTTGCCCCACTCCACTGTTCCAGCTGTGGCCATCTCCTAAACCAAGACTGGCACTGGGAACACGGGCCGTGTCCTGCTGGTGGGGGTGGGGTCAGAGACCCTTTAGGGCTGATCAGGGCCAGGCCAGGGATGCACCATCTCCACTTATTGGCCCCTAAATGTAGCCCCTTTAAATACTTCTGGGATTTGACTGGGACTTCTGAGAACAATGATTTGTTCCAGTGGTGGAACCCTGCAGTTCGCCTGGGAAGGGGGAGGAAGAGGGGTGCTAGGTAAGGGAAGAAAGCTTTAAAAGCCTCTGATTCTGGGGAATGGGGAGAGGAAGCCACCTTAAATGGTGGGAAAGAGTTTCTCGTGCTGCTCTCATCTTGAGCAAGTCGTTTTCCTTTCTGGCTCTCAGTTTCTTCACCAGAAAAATGGGATAAAACTTCTAACCTGACAGGGGTGTTGAGAAACTTATGATGATGCTTCCTACTGGCACCTCATTGGTGGTTTCCTTCTGTCCCTCTCCCCCTTCTTGTCATGTGGAACTTCAGTGCGACTATTACTGTGATGAAACAAGTTTTGAGGGCTCAGAGCCTATCTACACCTGCAGAGAAAGGGAGAGGAGAACTCCCCTCCCCTGCGGACCCCCAGAAAGCCCAGAATGCTGTCCTGAGCCTTCTGGACCCAGAGTGATCTGGGTGGAATTTTCACTGTCCTTCATTATTGTTGGTTTTCTTATCTGTAAATTGTAAATAACGATAGTACCCAGCTCAGATTTGTGTGTGTGTGTTAAATGAAATAGTGTTTTTTTACCTGGAATAGCAAAGGGAATCAATAAAAAGTAACTACTGCTTTTGTCACTTTATGTTTTACGCTGTTTTTGCTTCTGTTTTTTCATTTGCTCCTGTGAGGTGACAGAGCAGGGATTTTTTTTTTTTTAAATAGATTTTTAAAATTAATTTAAAAATTTTTTTTATAAACATATAATGTATTTTTATCCCCAGGGGTACAGGTCTGTGAATCACCAGGTTTACACATTTCACAGCACTCACCATAGCACATATTTTTTTTTTTTTAAGATTTTATTTGTTTTATTTGACAGAGAGATCACAAGTAGGTAGAGAGGCAGGCAGAGAGACAGACAGGGGAAGCAGGCTCCCTGCTGAGCAGAGAGCCTGATGCAGGGCTTGACCCCAGGACCCCGAGATCATGACCTGACCCGAAGGCAGAGGCTTTAACCCACTAAGCCACCCAGGCGCCCCCAGAGCAGGGATTCTTACCAGACCCATGTCAGAGATAAAAGACTGGAGGTTCAGGCTCCTGCACAGCTTCCTAGAGGTAGCACTCCGAATCCCCAGCCCAGGGGGGCTCATCACCATGCCTCCTATGAGGCACCATGACTCTGGCCATGGGAGGAGCTGGAGTAGACCCCATCCCAGGTTGGGCTGACAGCTCCTGAGAACAGTAGTGGCCACAAGGCAGAGAGGGAAGCTGTGGGTATGTCTGGGGTGGAGGTGCTGGGGTAGCTTGGCCTGAGGTGTTGTTCCGGTCATCTGGAATGGAGCCCCGTGGTTGACTTTTGGGGCCAAAATGAAGCCTGTGGAGTTAAGGAAGGTTAGACTTGAAACCTGCTATCAGCTGTGATTTACACCTCCCCAAACCCCTCAAGATCCTCCGCTGGGATTAGCATGATCATTGTTTTATTTGTGGAGAAACTGAAACCCAAAGAAGGGAGGCAGCATGCCTGAGGTCACACAGCAAGCTAGAACCCCAGGCTGTTTTGCACTGAACCTGATGGCCCTGTCTCCCAGCTGGTCCTGAGTCTGAAGAACTACCTCCCTCTCCCACACACGGTCTTTTTCCCATCTCTTCAGGAGCCATAATATTTTATCTCAGTCCCTAGCCAGGGATTTTCTTTTCTTCCAGCAGCTTGAAAGGAGGCTCACCCTGGCCCCTCAGTACCCTTCTTTTCAAGAGGGGTCCCCTCTGATCCTCAAGCTCCTTCCAGGCTGTCCGAGGACACAGCAGGTAAAGAAATACAGAGCACAGGTTCCAGGAAAGCTAGAGTACGGTGGTTTGTGGGGAACAGAGGATCTATTTGTACTTACTTACAATATTTACAATAGAAGATATTATAAATAGACCCCCAAGTCATAATACTTACTGATCACAGAGTATGTGCCATGTACCGATAGGTGCTGGAGAGTCTGGTGAACAAGCACCAGACCGTGAGCCAGAAGTGCTCACGGTCTGGTGGAGGAAGCAAAATGACCAGGGTGCAGGCGAGTAGTGGTGACCCTGTGAAGAAGGATAAAGTGGTCTGTGAGGAAATGGCGGGGACCGCTTCCTTACAGTGGTATCTCCCTTTGGGTTCTTCTAGAAAGCAGATGCTGAGAGAAGGATCTGAGTGCGAGTTATCTATCTGGGAACAGACAGTAGGAAATATCTTTAGGAGAAGTGAGAAGGCAAGAGAGTCCAAAACGTGGACAATATGAAGCCAGTCGCCAGTGTGGGTGACTTGAGCGCCATCCCGTGGGGAGCTTTGGGAAGCAGTGGAGAATGTGCTCTTCGGTTACTCTGTTTGAGGGGCAGTTCCTGGCAGTGGTGGATTCAGGGATGGGAGCCCTGAATGCCCCAGTCTGCATGGACATCGGCCCCTCTGGTAGCCAGAGAGAGCTGCAGGCAGAGATGTGGCTAGTCAGGGGTGTGTGTGGAAATTATGTCCGCTGAGGGGATTGAGGTGGGGGCACTGCTAGTGTCAGTGCAGGCAGTCAGGCCTCTCCAAGAAGGTGACTTGGAGCACATGTGAGAATATAGGAGGGAGGAACCTGGGAACAGCTTTCTAGCCAGAGGGAACAGCAGGTGCAGGAGACGTTTAACTGGAGGCTGGGGCCCTGCTTCTCACAGGTCTGCTGGCTGAGGGAGGCATAGGTGCCTTAAAGGAGTCAGGTCATTCCATGCTCACGGAGCGGCACTCTGTTCAGGCAGCCCTCAGGACAGGACGCCCACCCCTCTGGGTCATCCTGGACCTGACCCCTGGCTCACATGGAAAGGGGCTTGGTGGGCTGCCGGTATGGGTGAACAGCACGGGCTGTGGGAGGCAAAGACCAGCATTGTCAAATTATGAGTCATGGCCAGACTCCTCTGAGCCTCTTTTATCCATAAAGTGAGAATCCTAATATATCCTTGCCTCTCCTCACAAAATACAGAAAATGGCTGTGTGCCCATTCAAGCCCTTAGCCCTCAGCCCTTGGTAATGACAGTAGCTCACACTTCAGTGTGCTGGGCATAGTTCTGAGCCTACCTGGTGTGTAAACTCACTTCATCCTCACAGCAACACTATGGGGTTGTCCCAGTTTTTAAGTGAGGAAACTGAGGACCAGGGAAGTGGAGTGACTAAACCCACAGCCCATCTCCAAACCCCAGGGTTTTAACCTTGACAGCTCGTTTTTCTTTCACAGAGTTTAGGTACCCAGGAAATGAGAGCTTATGCGATGATAATTTTTTAATTATTTTCTTTTGATAATCTTAACAACTTCTGAAATTTACCTGGCACTTTTTACATGCTGAACCTGTTTCTGATGATGCTCTTGAGGAACTGAACCCATTTGTCAGATAAAGAGACTGTGGCCTTAGAAAAGCAGCTACATTCTGGGTCATGGTAGAGCTTGAGTTGCCTTCTGAGATGTTACCCTGTGGCTTCTGAGGCCATCTCCCCACCAGACTGGAAGAGGCTAGAGGCCAGGGCGCTTGGAGGTTCCCCCTGGCCCATGGGTTTGGCTGTTGCTCTGATTTTCCAGACACGAGCCAGGCTGGCTCTCCCCTTCTCCAAGAGGGGCCCAGGGGCCCCCTGCCCAGCTCTGAGTCCTGGGCAGGGGGCCTTAATAAGGAAAGGGCACAGTTTGCAGCCGCAAGTTAAACCGGGCATATGGTCCGTCCCCAGCTAACCCTGACAGCAGGTCATCTGTAAAATTGCTAAGTTAAAATAGCGCAGTCATTATTCCACCACAGGGCTGAAAATAACCAGGACCGGAACAGGGCTGTGGACTCAGGCCTGTATTTGCCTGAGGGCCTCTGGGAGCTCTTCCTGAAGCCCTGGGCTCCTCCCCTAGGAGCCTATGGCCTCCAGCCCTAGATGGCTGGCTGGTGGGCAGGCTGAATGCGTTTGTCTTATCGAGTGCTCTTAGGTGTGGGTTTCTTCAGGGAGGGTGTGGGGCATGAGAGACCTTCCACCTCATTGAAGAGATGAGTCATGCCCAGAAGGACAGTATAGGAGCAGGGGTAGGATTCCCTTCCTTGAGGGGAAGGAGGATCTTGCTGGGCCTGGGAGGATGAAGGTAGTGGGAAGGGGGAAGAGGATGAAGCACAGCTGCAGCTTTGGACAGGAGTGCACCTTCTTCAGTTCCTGGGGGAGACACACATGACCAGAAGTCCTTCAAGAGGAAGACACATGGTAGACAGCTGCTGGGTGTGAGTGATGTGGCTGGAAGGAGGAAGGAAGAGAGGGAAATCCACGCTCAAGAGAGGCACAGGCTCAAGAAAGAAACGGGAGGCCAGCTCACGGAGGGAAGATGTCCCATCAGGGGGTGTGACCATGGGCTGGATCCTGTGCTAAGCACGTTATGTTTTATTATCTCATTATCTAATTTTATTATCTCATCAAAGGGTCAAAAAACAGTAGCTCTGTGAGCCGGGGACTTTTGTTTTCCCCATTTTATGGATGAAAAAACTGTGACTCTGGGAAGGTAATTAATTTGTTCAACATTACTCAATGTCAGACCTGGGGTTCTAGGATGAAGGCCTTTGCTCTTAACAGCTAGGCTATCCTGCCTTCAAGAAGGCTTCCTGGATGAGGATGGACGTAAGGGGTTTCAACCAAATAAAGGGAAGGACATTTCTGATAGAAGGAACTCCTTGAGTAGAAGCAACTCCCTGAGCCAAACCATAGAAGTGGGAAAGAAAATGTTAAACATCATGAGGAAGAAGCTCTGCATGGTTGCAGCATCCGTTGTGTGTACATTGCATGTGAATGAGTGTGTGGATGCAGGGATATTGTGGGAGTGGGCACTGGGACACCTGTGACTCCCCATTAGTCATTGTGGGAATTGCCTGTAGTGGATTAGGAGCTGGGGAGGCGGGGCGGGGTAAAGCTCTGACTTGCTTTGTGGTCTTGCAGAAGTCCCATTGCTCTCTGGGCCTCAGTTTCATCATCTATCACGTGAAGAGTTTGGACAGAGGGTCTCTATGGCTGATGAGTGGCAACTGGTCTACCAGGGCCCTCAGGAAGGAGGCCATGGAATAGGAGAAGGGTCAGGCCTGGGAAGGAAGAATGCAGAATATGCCAAGCATTTCAGAGGTCGGGGAGGACTGGGGAATGTTTTGACAGCAAAAAGGTCATCTCTGACCTTGGCAAGCTTTGGCCCTTTGGAATGGAAGGGGCGGAAGTGGCTTTGGAGAGGAGCCAGGAAAGGCTGAGCTGAAGGAAATGGGATAGTGGGGACATGAAAATGGCGGGAAGGAAGGATGTTTGCTGTAGACAGGGATGGATAGTGAGATGAATGAGGCCATCCCTGATTGGCCCCCCAACACCAACCCCTGACTGGGGTTGCTTGTCTGGAGCCTTATATTGAGAAACAGTCCAAAGCCTGTAAATCAGAGAATAGAGCTGCAATTGATTAGCAGTGTCTGCCAAGGAAACTAGTGATAGGGCAGCATGTAGTTGGCCATCCTTGCTTAGATGCATCTTGGGTTGAAAGCAGTAGTCTGAATACCTGAGGGGGATCCTCAGGAATTAGGAATTGTGGGAGGAAATATCTCTGGCTCTAGAAACTTCTTCCTGACCTTTTGCTAAAATCAAGGTGGTTTGCCTCATGAGAAGATAGTGATGAAGTTCTAGAATATAGGTGAGGTTCGGTGGGGTGAGGTCCGGAGCTGATGACCAAGAAAGAATTCTTGAGACATTTTTGGTGCAAAATGGTGGTTTATTAAAGCACGGGGACAGGACCCGTGGGCAGGAAGAGCTGCTGCCCCGGGGATGTGAGGGGGGGAAGTGAGGAGGGCCGGCAGGTTTTGTACCATGGACTTAGGGTGGAGGTGAGGAAAAGGGAGGTTTCAATAGAACTTTCATATGCTAAAGAGGACCTATAAGATACCGGATACCAGAGGCCTTGCCATTGCCAAGGTTGTTTTGCCCTCTAGCAAGGTATTGTTTGATTGGAGATTTTTTAAAGAATGTCACATATGTCCCACCCAGGAGTGGAGGGCGGGGAGGAGGTTGCAAGGTGTCAGCCTTTTGCTTTGTCCTTAGCCAGCCTTCTGTTCCCTCATCAATAGGATGGGCTACTGACCAGGAACTTGGGCTTTAGAGTCAGATAGACGACTAATGTGACGAATCACATGTCCTTTGAGCCTCCCTTCCCTCCTTTGAAAGGGGAATTAAAGAATGCCTGGCTGGAAGGTAGCTGTGAATGTTAGTAGTGGTCAGAGCTGCTTTGTTATTACTCTTGTCTTTGTTACTTGATAGCTCAGTCTTGCCCCGATGATGTGATGGCAGTCTTGGTGGCGGTGGTCTTGGTTTCTCTGAGGCTGAGGCTCAGGTCTGAGTTGCTCTGGGGCTTCCATCACCCAACCCAGGACTGGGTCACCTCCGGGATTTTCTGATTCTTTTTGGAGGATCAAATGGAACAGGGTCGTGATTGATACAGCAGAGGCTAGGGTTCCTTGGGGGTCTTCTCAGCGGGGACTGGGCCTCCTGTTGGGGTGGCGGCCCAAGTGCAAGGGCTGGAAGGCAGTGGGCTGGGGCCCACAGCTGAAGATGGTTTTGAGACATTGCAGACCTGAAAGAAGCCTTGGAGTTGTCCAGGTCATTTCTTCACTCAGCAAATACTGAGTGCCAGCTGCATGCCAGGCTCTGGATGACCGGCCAACAAGTCCCTGCTCACCTGGACCTCAAACAGGGGGACCGGGTACACCTGTAAGTTCTTGTAAGGAGCCCCTCCCCCCCAATACCCATGCATTCTTTTTCAGATGGGGAAGCAGTCTCAGAGAGAGACAGTGGCTTGCTCAAGTCAAAACCAAAGAGGTGTGGGTATGCAAGGCTTCTTTTGGCTGGTGGAAAAGAAGGTAGAACCCCTGGAGGAGGAGAACTTCAAGACAGTTGCTGGGAGGGGCAGCATGTGCCAGACAGGGTAGAGGGCCCAGTACTGCCACCTAGGTCCAGTAGCGCAGGAACCCCTGAGCTAGCCTGTGCCTTGTAGGCGGGGCCTGCAGCCCTGCCCGGCCTCAGCTGCCCTGGCACCATTGATGCCCAGTTCAAAGCTTTCTTCCTGTGTCTCTTCCATTAGAGACACTGAGGACTCCTGGATAAGCAAGGAGAGTACAGGGTTCTCCCGGCTCCTCTCCCAGAAAGTGGTCCAGGGAAGCTGGTCCTGCCTGCCTCCAATGGTGGCCCCTGGAAACTGATTCCTCTGTGGATCCTGCCCTATCCAAGATCGTGGGTGAAGCTGAAGAGCCGTTTCCTCCTCTTTAAAGTGGCTACAATCGTAATACCTCCTACACTGCATTATCAGAGAAGGGATGATAATGGACAGGCAAAGGACTCTGACATGCAGGAGTGTGGGGTTTTCATTAGTCTTGGTGATCTGCTTGGAAGGATCCCTAGAGACCTTCCTTCGATTCTGGCTTCATTGCTTCCAGCTGAGTGATCTGGGGAGAAACCCTAAACCCTGGGGATTGTTCAAACCACTGATGAAGACCACACTTGCCCTCCTGCCTCTCTGCCTGCTCAGGGCCCTCTCTCACATGGGTGGGGTGAGGTGGGAGCCTTCCAGCTCTCTCTCTGTTTAGTTTTCATAGCTCCCGTCTCCCAACCTTCCTGACCTCAGTCTCAGGCAGAGTTTTCAGAGGACCCTTCTGTGTGCTCTGCTCTGTACCCTGGCCTCAGCATTACCAGGCTTAGAGGGGAGAGGGGACTTTCCCAACACATGGAGGTGATGGGAAGCAGAGCTGGGACTTGAACCCAGGTCTGCTGGATTCCAGTAGCCTTCATAAGATGTCATTTGAGCACTCACCTCTCCCTTTCCTGCCCCTGCCCCCACCTCTTTCCTGGTCCCCCACCCCCGCCTCTTCCTCTCCATGGCTGTGGAGATGGAGGCCAGCAAGAGTAGGTTGGGGCCCTGGGAACCACCCAGGTTTGAGTTCTGACTCCCAACTCTTTACTCACTGTAGGTGGCCTTTTGATGACTTTGCTTCTCTGAGCCTCAGTTTTCTAATCTGTAAAGTGAGGATAGCATCCACCTCACAGGATCATGTAGAGAATTCCGTAAGAAAATAGCATGGTTTGCTCTCAGCAAGTATTGAAGTATAGAGTTTGGGTTTTGAACTTGAAAATATGGGCTCAGATCTTGGCTCTTATACTTGCTGGCTCTGTGGACGTGGTTGTGTGATTTCACCTCCTGGGGCTTCAGTGTCTTTGTAAGTGGGTAAGCGATAAAAGTGTCTGCCTCATAGGTTGTCATAGGATTAGTGAGAATATTTTATGGAAGGCTTCTTACCATGGTGCTTGGTAGGTACTGGAAAATGTTAGTCCTTTATTACAGGTATAAATAATGGTAGATGGACAACCCCAATACCCTTTGCTAGGTCTTCCTAGGAAATGGGTGCAGGGAGGACAGGGTCTGAGGGACTGTCCTTCTGCACAGAGCTGCCGGAGAACTGGACAGACACTCGGGAGACACTGCTCGAGGGAATGCTCTTCAGCCTCAAGTACCTGGGCATGACGCTGGTGGAGCAGCCCAAGGGCGAGGAGCTGTCAGCTGCTGCTGTCAAGAGGATTGTGGCCACGGTGAGCCCGTCAGGGTCGGGGAGCCATGAGCCAAGGGCGGCTGCTTCTTGGGGTACCGCTCATCTCCTGCTTACTACCCTGATGGGATGCACCTCAGTTGTTCCCATCCTTGACTCCCCTTGCATCTGGCTTAGGGACTCTGGTAGAGGAGAACCACTGGGCTTGTAGGGTCAGGGTCCATGTCCTCCTCTCCAGCTGTTGTGGCCTTGGCCTCTCCCAGCCTCCCCTCCCCCAACTCAGGTCCCTTACCTCAGGGTTGGTGACTTAGTGCCAAGGAATAGTGGGGAGGTTGCGGTCATGCAAGCACTTGCCCTCTGGCCTGAGAGATGGGGTAATGCACCAGAGACAGATCTACCCCCTCCCCAGCTCCCTGTCCTGAGTGAGCATGGCCCTCTAAATGTACCTCCTTGGTGGCCTTGGACCCTTCAGCTCAGACACTGTCAGGTCTAGTGGGTGGAGTGGAGAGTCCCCAGGAGTGATCCTGCTGGGTTGTGATAGCCCACTCCGTGCTCAGAGTCTGCGGGCCCTCCTAGCAGTGTGTCCTGGGGCAGCTCCCTTAACCTCTGAGCCGTTTCCTCCTCAGGAGAAGCTCTGTTGCCTCTAAGGACTACTCGAGGTCCAGTGCCTGGCAGACAGCAGGTGCTTCATGAGCCGGGGTTGTCCTGTGTTTATCACAGGAGCGTGCTGACTGCTGTCTTCCCCAGCGTGTCTGCTGTCTCTACGCTGAGGCCTCAAGGGGGCCTCGAGTCTAGGGCTTAGACCAGCTAGGTGTAGCCCATGAGAATAGGTCCCAAGTGGGGCAGGCAGGTTCTCTCACCCACGTCTACCCCAAGGCCAAGGCCAGCGGGAAGAAGCTGCAGAAAGTGACCCTCAAGGTGTCGCCACGGGGGATTATCCTCACCGACAACATCACCAACCAGCTCATCGAGAACGTGTCCATTTACAGGTATGCTCAGCATCCCCCACATTCACTCTGCTGCTTGTGGCAGTGGATGGGGCGCCCTTTCTGAACCTAGGTTCCACCACTTTCTGTCTGGGTGAGCTTGGAGCCTCAGTTTCCTCCTGTATGTGTGTTTGGGGGTGAGGGATGAAAACAGACACTGCCTCACGGTGCTGTTAGAAGTGCTGAGTGCACAGCACCTGGTCATAGTGGGTGCTCGGTTAAAGGGCGGCTGCTGCTGTCATTACTCCTAGTTGCAGTAGGCACTTGAGGCCTAGTGAGGACTGGGACCCCCTCCCCACTGCCTCTCCCCAGGCGTGCTGCTGAGGCAGGCTTGGAGCCGAGAGGTGTGGAGTCACTGCCTTTTCCTTCTACTGTGAATGCAGCAGCTCTGGACATCTGGCCAGGCATTCAGGAAGGCCTCAAGGCAGAGTCTGAGGCCAGAGTGTAGATGGTGTGGGGGGGTGGGGATGACACTGTTCTCAAGGAGGCAGAGCCCAGCCCTTGAAACTTCAAGCTCTCCCTGTTCCCTCTCTTGGCTGGTTGGTTGTAGGATTTTAGTGCTGGAAGGGACAGTCCATTTTACAGATGGAGAAGCTGAGGCCCAGGGAGTTGCCTGAGGCCCCACAGTGAGGTAGTAGCTGGGCTGGGACCAGGGCATGGAGGCTGGAGTTCTGTCCAGCAGGCACTCAGCTGCTGGGCGTTCCTCCGCCCTCTTGCTTTGTCTCCAAGCATGTGGCTCACCCCGCTGGAGCACAGGCCAGTACTAGGTTGGGGGAAGAGGGAGGTTGGTTTTAGTTTCTGGCTGGTGTCCTCCTCTCACCTTCCTGATTCTTCCTGTCTCCTTTAACTAAGGGAGGCTTTTGACCCAGCCCCTGTCAGCAAGGAGGGCGTGGAGGGAAAGCAATAGGAGAGAGAGTATAAGTATTTCCCAAGAGAGCAGAGAAGGAGGGGCTTGTCTGTCCTTACAAGGCCTCCCCAGGAAGGTGGCAAGAGGCTGGATCTGTTGGGATGGAGAAGTAGTTGCTGGCCTGTGGGTTCTAAGTGGTGCCGATCGCTGTGTCAGTGGCTGTGAAGGAAGCTGGGGCCGCACTAGGGGAAGGAGTCTGCTGAGCTCCGGTCCCATCTGGGGCTGCCAGTTCCTCTGCTGATTGACATTCCCAGGCCGAGCAGCTGGCAGGGAGGGAGCAGACAAGGGGGGTTGGGCCAAGTATTCCAAGAGGAGGGAGCTGCTGTGTATTCCTCCTGGACCCGCTGGGGCTCCAGGTCTAGTCATCCTCACACTCCCTCACCCAACTCCCAGCTCCTTGATCTCTGACCACAGCTCTAGGAGAACTTGCCAGCAGTCTCAGTCATCCTGAGAGAGAGGGCCTGGAACTCCTCTGACCTCTGGGCAGGGGCATGACTGGAGAGCTAGGAGGGAAGGCCTGGTGAAGGGCATGGGTGGCTGGGGCAGTGTCCTGCTTCCCCTGTCTGGTCAGTACAGACCCTTAAGGGAAGCGTGGCAGTGGTTACAACTTCTGGAATCCTCAGGAGATCCAAGACTGTTAGCTTCAGTTTCTCATCTGAAAAGTGAGGATAATAATAGAACCCATCTCAGGGCAGCTCTGAGAATTAAGTGAAGTCATATCTAGAACGTTGGCCTGGGATACAGGAAAGGTATAGCTATTACCATTCTGGAGTATGGCTCAGTAGAGAGGGGGGAAGTCCCCTCCACTCCTTCCTGCCTAGCCTGTGTGCCCCCCATTGATGGCTCAGAATGCCAGGTCCAGAGGCCAAAGCTGTCTCTCCAGAGTCTCCCCCTGGTGGAGTAGGATAGTCAGCTCTTGGGGAATCAGGGGAGATGCCCTGTGGGGCAACCCATATGTGGGCAGGCCCTTGTGCTGGGTTTGGTGACACTTCCCGCTTGCCTTTCAGGATCTCCTATTGCACAGCAGACAAGATGCACGACAAAGTGTTTGCCTACATTGCACAGAGCCAGCACAACGAGAATCTCGAGTGCCATGCCTTCCTCTGCACCAAGCGGAAAGTGGTCAGTGGGGAGAGGCTGGGGCCCAGGCAGGCTCTGGCCTTGGCAGCCCTGCCCTAGGGGGGAGGCAGGACCCAGAGGTGACTTCACTTAATAGGAGGAATGAAATTCCTGGGAACCCCACATGGATGCTGAGAGCACTGAGTAAGGCTGCAGTCAGTAGGCAGCCTGTCACTGTGGGCTGCCCTGAGTGGCCATCCTGGCCTGTGGGTGGTGACAAGGCCATGTCTTCAGTAAGTGCCCTAGTCCCTTCCTCTTTAGCATGATTGATTGTATTTGAAGGTGGGGGGCTTTCCTGTCAGTAGTACGGTCTGGGGGTTCAGGGCCTTATAGGAATCAGTCCTTGGAGACTGATGATCCGAGGGCTCAGGGGAAAGGCTAGGGGACCTGGCTCTCTATAGCCAGAGTGGGGAGGGAAATGGCCATTTTTTGGCACCTACCATGCCCCTCTGTCAGTGGTGGGCTTTAAGGGATCTTCTGTTTAGTCCTCATAGTTCTGTGGGGTGGCAGCTGCTACTAGCTTCGCTATTTTTCTTTTTAACAAGGAAGCAGATTCACAGAGGTCAGCTGTCTTGCTGAAGATGACACAGCCAGCTGGGCAGAGCAAGGGTTTAGCCCATGCTGCTTTTCCCCGCTGCATGACTGCAAGGAGCCCGGAGCTCCTTGCCCCATTTCCAGGCTACCTCCGGCCACATCCAGCTGACACGAGTGGAGACCCCTGTGGTCTCTGGGCTTTGTCTTGAACTTTGCGACAAGCAGGCAGAGTGAGTTCACATTTGGTGTTGAGGCTTTCGTTTCGGAGGCCTAGAGGTCTAAGCATCTGCTCTGAGGAGATTCTGATGTTTATTGGTTTAGCATTGGCCTCTGTTAACCTTTGTACAGAGCCCAGAGCCCTCCCCAGATCCTATGGTCCTTGGAAACAAGGAGACAAGATCGTCTCCCCTGCCCCTCTCATCACGGACACGTCAAGGACATCACAGTCTTTAAGTGACCCCCAGGCTTCCTGCTACCCATCAGGGCCTGCTCGAGACACGGTGTTAGTTTTCTATAACAGCTATAAGAAATTACTGCAGACTTAGTAGTGGTTTAAAACAACCCAAATTTATTCTCCTGTGGTTCTGGAGGTCAGCAGTCTGAAGTGGGTCAGCAGAGTTGGGAATCCTTTCAGAGGCTCCAGGGGAGAATACATTTCCTTGCCCTTTTTAAACTTTCTAGAGACCACCGTTCCTTGGTTTCTGGCCCCTTCTTCAACCCGAGGGCCAGCAGTTCAGCACCTCCCAGTCTTCCTCCTGCTTCCGTTGTCACTTTGCTTCCCTTGTCAGTCCATTGTCACTGCCTCTGACCCTCCTGCATGGCTCTTAGAAGGCTCCTTTTGATTGGGCGCCATAGGTAATCCAGGATAACCCCCACCTCAAAATCCTTAACTTAATCACACCTGTGAAGTCCCTTTTGCCATGCCAGCTAACCCTCACAGGTTCTAGGGATTAGGATGTGGACATCTTTGGGGGCCATGATTCAGCCTACCAAGGGCTTTTGGAGGGAGCACTGCAGGATGAGACAGATTAGGGGTGTGATTCTGGCTGTTGTGCTGTGTGACTGTGGATAAGACCCTGCCCTTCTCTGGGCTGCTTGCCCATCAGCAGAATGAGGAGGTCACCTCAGTGACCTCTAGGATTGTTCTGAAAGGCCCCTTTCTTCTGTGTACCTTGTTTCTTTCCTGCAGACTCAGTGTCGCCAGCCACTCACCCAAGGCCTCGTGATGCCCCAGGTCCCCGAACTGCAATAGCTTCTCCCATGACGGCTTTGTTCTCACAGACAGTGTCTCCTGGCTTTGTCTCTTATGAGGCCACAGAGACTTAAAAATACAGGCTCATTATGTCCCCATTGTTTGTCTCTTCCTCCTCACCGACCAGAGCAGGCACTGGGCAGGGGCAGCTGGCCCATAGCCACTGCTACAGAGTGTGGACCCTGGGCAGGAGGGGCGCCAAGCTCCAGAGGCTTCCTCTGGGAAGGGGAGCTGGGGGTAAAAGAAAGCGGATGCCCTCCCAGTGGCTGAAGGGAGGCCTGGTCTGGGGCCAGAGGACTTTAGACAGGCTTGAACAAAATCAGCCTGTCTCAGGCCAAGAGGTCAGTTATTGAGGAAAACAACCTGCCTGCGGCTTGGCGCTGACAGCCGAACCCTGGCCTGGCAGAGGGGGTGGCTCCTGCTGGACACCTGGGCCCAGGCTTGTCACTTTTCCTCACACACTTTGCTCTGTGTCAGGAGCTGACTGGCTCAATTATAGCTTATCCGCCTTTCCTTAGCCGGCTTTCTGCCTTCAGACAGCCCAGGGCAGGGCAGGGTAAACAGGCCACCCGACATGAGGGGTCTCACCCCTTCCCCAGGCCACCGCTGAGCCCAGGCTGCCAGTAACCTGGCCATGTTGGAAATCCTGAGCTTCTCAGGGCTTAGTGGACCTTTCTGAGAAGGAGGCAGAGGGTGAAATGGGGGTCTCAGGTTCTGCAGCCCCCCAGTGGTCAGGTGCCTCCCCAGATGTCCACTGCTGCCTGTCCTGGGTTGAGCCCTTTGTTGGGACCTGGGGACCCAGGGAATCGGCCATGGAGATACTAACAAGGTAGTGGGGCAGAAGGGCCAGGATTCGGTAACTGGAACCCAGGGGGCTCAGTTCTAGGGTGGAGGTCATTAAGTCTCACCAGAGGTCAGTAGGATTTCCCAGAGAAGGAGACATTTTGATTTCGAGCTTTGAAGGCTGAGTAGTGAGTTAAGAGTTTGCCGGCCGAGAGAAAGGGGGTGGGGTGGTAAGAGAGGGAGTGCACAGGAATCAGCATGTGCAAAGATGCAGGTGCAGAATTAAATGGTATGATTGGTGGTGGAGGACTCAGATGTGACTGGAGCCGGGGTGGGTGGCAAAGTAGAGTCAGCCTGTGGGGGAAACTTGAATTTGCATGCCAACATAGCCCCTGTTGCCTTTGGCTGGGGGCCCACAGTCTCCATGTATCCCTACCCTTTCTCTGGGCTAGAAGTCTGTGACCACCCAGGGTGGCGGGAAGGGGTTCCTTTCTGGTTCACCCCCCTGTTCAACTCAGCTCGGGCAGCACAGCCACCCGACCTCCCTCCCCCGGTGATTCCTGTTTGGCACGGCCAAGATGAGTTCCCCCAGAAAGAAATGCTTCTGTCTGCCCAACTATGAGGCCTCCGCCAGCCCTGCAGCCTCGGGATTCGGAAGTGAAGGTGGGGTTGTGGCTTTGATGTGGCCCAGGGTTGTAGTGCAGGTGGACTGACAGTAAACAAAGTGGCTCCGCACCCCCCCCCCCCCCCCCCGCCACCACCACAACCGATTCAACCCCGGGCAGGCTGGGGCAGAGCTGTTCTGCTGTACGTGGCCGTTGGCATTCCTCAGGTAATCCTTCTGGGCCAGCAGGGCCTTAAGGGACCCATGGCGGGACTTGGTCTGAGTACTAGGTTGGGGTCTGGGATCCCGGGTATCCTGAGCTAGACCTGGTCCTTTGAAGGAATTCACAGCCTGGTTACAGGGAACGAGCCAGAGACAAGAAAAACTGGGTGAGGTAGAACCCGGTTCAGGTGCTGAGGGACTCACAAGCCAGAGGCACTCCTAGGAAAGAGAAGCATTTAGCCTGAGGGATCAGGGAAGGAAGACCTCCCCCTGGGCAGGCTCGAGCAGTCCTTTCTTGTAATGCTGCCCAGATTCCGGCAGCTGCCCCAGAGATCAGGGCCCGCCCCAGCCCCAGCCTGGCCTGGGCTTGCAGCCACCTGCACACACGTGCACCCTGGGTTATGTTTGGTTTACTTGTAGCTTGGGATTTCAGGGCGAAAGGCAGGAATGTATGCAAATGAATAAGTAGATTGATGCAAAACCAGTATCAGGTTCATGGCCCCAAATATCCTGGAGGCAAAAATAATGGTGTTTCCATCTCCCTGCCACACTAGGTGACCAGCTGCGTCTTGGGTATGTAGTGAGCTGACTCCGGCTGGTAATCAGCCCATATTTTTAGTTCATGGGCAATTCTCAATGGTAACTGGGTCTATTAAACTTGATTCAGACGTGACAGCTTAAATTGTAAACAGCTGTGAAGAGTTTCATACTTAATTACCATATTTAAGTTTTGCCATAAAGCGCCCGTACTTCCATCAAAAATGTAAATGACGGAGACATACAAATGAGATTTTATACTTCGTGAAGTTTAATTGGCATGGATCAGTCAGCTTGTTTAAGAATTTTAAATTTTAGAAAAAAGAGTTTTAAAGGCAGTACCGCAGATTCATTTCTCAATTAAATCAGGTTGTCTGGTAGAGGGAAAGGGAATGGGTCCGAGCAAGGCTGATAGGCCTGAACTTGTGCACTTGAAAGAATCTGGTGCTTTCTTCTCTAGGCTCGGGCTGTCAGAAGGAAGCTGGATGTCGCTTCCGGCTACAGCTGAGCTCTGGGACTCCCACTCCCAGCAGCTGAGCTGTGATTAACCCTGAACTGGAAGCAGAGAGAGGAGGAGGCTGCCATGAATGTGGGCTGGGGGTAGGTCCTGGCTGAGTGAGGCCTCAGGAGGCCTGCCCCTTGGGCTAATGCAGTCTTGCAACCCTGGAGGGCTTGGCCTGCTCTGGGGATCAAGGTGTTTAGACTGGGTTCTTGCTTTAAGGAAGCACCCAGATAGGGTGACACAGGCATGTGAGCTGGTGCCACTTTGATAGGCATGTTGCCAGAGAGATGTTGGTGGGCCTGTGGGGCCCCAGTCCAGGTGACCTGAGAGAATTGGCGGGGTGCATGGGAGTTCCTCAGGGGGGAAGAGCCAAGGTGTGGCTCCCTCTTCCTGGTGCGTTATGGCCCTGAATGGTTTTTGTCCCCTGCCATGGGCATGCACTGAATTGTGGATCTAGTTGTACTCCCTCCCACCCGGCGTAGGGCTGCCCGGAGTTTAACCCTTGCCTCTAGAAGTTGGTTCAGACAGTGGCCAGGCACTTTCCATTTCTGGCTTTTCTGTTCTTTAATTCCAAGGGCTAAGTGTGAAGTCCTCAGGTAATTGGGGGGGGCTTCTTGGAAGAAGTAAGCCCCTAGTTATTTGAATATAGAGAAGCCCAAAGGAAAGGGGAAAAAGTAGAGGTGAACAGCCATTGCAAAATTGCAAACGTTGGGGCTGGAATACAGGTGGGAACCTTGGCTGCGCTACCTACCAGTGGTGAGGATGTGGCCCGGTCTGCTTGGAGAGGGTGTGGCCTTGTGACACCGCAGGGCTATTTTGGTGACCTGGAAGGGGCTGGGACTCTGCCTTTCCCCAACTGGCAGTTCAGGGCCTTGACAGAGCAGAGCCTCAGGCCTGCATTTCAGACTTGCTGTTACCTGCCTGACAGGCACCCCTCCCCACCCCGCTTCCTGTTTTTCAGGCCCAGGCTGTCACCCTCACAGTCGCCCAGGCCTTCAAAGTCGCCTTTGAGTTTTGGCAGGTGTCCAAGGAAGGTGAGTCTTGTTCAGGGACGCTGTGGGGGGTGGGAGTGGAACAGGGGAAGGTTGGCAGAGAGAGAGGAGTGGGGAGTGGGTACTAAAGGCCCTGGAGTCCAGGCCCAACTCTCCTCTTCCTCACCTACTTGGTGTGTGACTTTGGACAGGTCCCTTCACCTCCCTGAGTCCCATTGTCCCCCTGTGAAGGAAAGGAACAGCTGTCTCCCTCCCCCAGGATGCTTATGAGGGTCAGATCTGCAGTTTCTTTTCTTTTTTTTTTTTTTAAGATTTTATTTATTTATTCGACAGACAGAGATCACAAGTAGGCAGAGAGGCAGGCAGAGAGAGGCGGGGGGAAGCAGGCTCCCCGCTGAGCGGAGAGCCCGATGTGGGGCTCGATCCCAGGATCCTGAGATCATGACCCGAGCTAAAGGCAGAGGCTTAAACCACTGAGCCACCCAGGTGCCCCAGATCTGCAGTTTCTATTCTCCCTGCTGGACACCTGATGTGGGCCCCTGTCCAGTGATTGCTGGGGGCGGGGCCTGCAACCCTCTGTGCCTTTGTCCCACAGAGAAGGAGAAGAGGGAGAAAGCCAGCCAAGAGGGCGGGGACGTCCTAGGCGGGGGCCTCCGAGACAGCACCCCGTCTTTGAAGAGCTGTGAGTCTTGGGCAGGGGATGGGGCCAGAATCAGCTGCATGATTGGGGGCTGCCCTTCATCCAGAGGGCCCTACTCACTCCCTCCAGGGCTGGGGCAAACCCTTGTTTTTTTATTTTTGTTTTGTTGTTAAATAAATAATACATGCTCATCATAGATAAATTCGAAAATGCAGGTAAAAGGGAACGGTTGCTCTTTTTGATGAATGTTCTTCCAAATATGTCTGTGCAAATATGTAAATATGTGTATACCCCTCTCAGTACATTTAACATCTTATTTATGTGATCTCTTAAAAAACTTAACACCTGTTGTGAATATGAAAATTTTAACTTAAAACATTAGTTGGGGTGAAATTTGGGCCCTGTGGGCAGCTGTCCAGCCACTTGGGGAGGTGCTGGGGTGGGGCTCTTGTTGATAGGCTTGGGAAGGCCATGCCTGAGGATGGGGTCAGGACCAGGATGGCCTGGGAGGCTCTAGGACGGGGCTGGGAAATGAAGCCTGGAAATAGGAGACTCCTCCCACTGACACACCTGACCGGACCCCTCGTAGTGGTTGCCACTGGGAACCTGCTGGACTTGGAAGAGACGGCCAAGGCCCCGCTGTCCACAGTCAGCGCTAATACCACTAACGTGGACGAGGCACCGAGGCCTCAAGGCTTGAACAATAGCAGTGTTGTTTGGGTGAGTGGTCATGTGGCCTGGGGACCCCGGAGGGATCCAGCGAGCCTCTGCCTGATCCCTGGTTGAGGCCTAAGGCTTCTCTAGGGCCCAGGCCCTGGCACCCATGACTTCAGTACTATGGGAGGACCAGACTCAGCCCAGCAGCGCCCAGGCCCAGGGTGGGGGGTGAACAATGTCCCCTTTGAACTCGGGGCTGCATCCCCAGCAGGCTTGGCTCCTAGCACAGCTGTCTTCTCACAATACCCAACCTCTTGGTCTGAGCGCCTGTGGCTCGGCCCACCACAGGACCAGCCAAAGGCTCCCTTGTTCTTGGCGTGGGCACAGTTTGCTTCCGACACCCCTCCCTGCTTCGCCATCTGAAGGAGGAGCCTGAAGCCCGGCAGTTAGCAATTGGGCCCTGACTCACTCTGTGACTCGAGACAAGCCCCCCTGACCTCTCTGTGTCTCAGGTTTTTCATCCCCTCAGTAAAGATGACGACCTCGGCCTGCAGAATTTCCCAGAGGAAACTGTTTTTTTTTTTTTTGTTTTGTTTTTTTAAAGATTTTATTTATTTGACACATTGAGACATCACAAGTAGGCAGAGAGGCAGGCGGGGGGTGGGGGAAGCAGGCTCCCTGCTGAGCAGAGAACCCCATGCGGGGCTCAATCCCAGGACCCTGAGATCATGACCTGAGCCGAAGGTAGAGGCTTAACTCACTGAGCCACCCAGGCGCCCCTGGGTGGTGGTGTTTTTTTTTTTTTTTTTTTTTTTAATACAGAAATTTTTTGCACTTGAAAATAATTTCAGACTTAACAAAAAAGTTATAAAAACAGTACATAGCATTCCTGTTCACCTCTCATCCAAATTCTCCACATATCAGCATCTCACACGAGCACATTACAGTGATGGAAGTCATTATCAGTCCGACGCCGTGAGGTCAGGCACAGGCTGTAGTCACGTGTCCACCACACGTCCCCTTTTTGCTCTCGGATCACTTGCAGAATCACACGTTACTTTGTCATTTTCTTTAACTGTAAAATATCTGGAATGGTGATGGACTTGAGAGACTCAAATCCCGTTCCTTGCGGCCCCCTCAAGTAGGTATCAGGCCTGTTCTCTGCTGCCTGGGAACCACTCTTAGCACCTACCCATCCTCTCAGGGAGGCTGCAGGGAGCCCCGCCCATTGTTTACCCACCAGAGCTGTGGGGTTCCTGCCTTGAGTTATTCCCTCAGGAGCCTGGAAGTGGAGAAAAGCAAGAAAACCTTCTTCCCTACCGTCTTTGCTCTTGGAACTTGAAAGCCATCTACCTTATTCAGTCCAACCCCCTCATTTTATGGAAGGAAAAGCTGAGTCCCAGAGAGGAGCAGCAACTTGCCAAGGGGTCCCTTGTGTTACGGCAGAGCTGGGATTTCTACTCACCCCCCTGGTGCTCTTTGACCTGTTCTATACCCCACTTTTGGGCCTGTGTGTTGAGATGTGTGTGCCTGTTCCCCAGGCACCCACCAGACTCCTGCACTTGTGTCCCGAGTCCCCTTGGCTTACCCAGGGCTGGGCTAGGGCCTGGCTGTAAGCACGGGCTCCCCCACTGAGGGTTCATATCTCCTTCTTTGTTTTCCCCAAGGAGCTGGATGATGGCCTGGATGAAGCATTTTCGAGGTAACATTAGCTGGGCTCCTTGTGCTGGGAAAGAGGGCCTGGTACTTGTGGGCTGGTCTCTGGGGTCCTTTGCCATATCTGAGAACATGAACTCTGACCTTTGCCAGGGTGTAAAATCTCAACTCGAATACCTCCAGGGATGGGGAACTCACTATCGGGTTGGCCAGGTCTGCTAAAAGGCTCTTGCTGTTGAATCAAAAACTATTCCTAGTGGCTTCTCTACCACAGTCTGAGATGAGCTAAACACTCTGCAGCTCAGGTTGATTCCGTCTTTCTACAGCTGGCGTAGTCTTCCAAACCTGGCTTTATGCAGGCTTTGTTCTCTCCAGAGACTTTGCAGTTGTGGAAGGGGGCAGGGAAGAGGTAATGCTTAATGAAGTCCATGGAGCGATACATAGAGGAGGAATGTCAGGCACTATAGGGAGATATTTTGGTCTTGCACGAGGTTGATGGCCTTTCCCCATCTTCCCAGGGGCCAGCCCTGTAGCCATGGCTACCTTAGCTTGGGGACATGGCACTGAGAAGGCTGGGCTGAAGAGAGCCCTGGGCAGCTCCAGGTTCTGAACACTGGGCCTGGTCAGTCAGGCGTCCGTGTCTTTCTGGGAACCCTGCACAGCCGCCTGCAGCCCTCTCCTTCCTCCCCAACTCCTTCGCTGCCAGAACCTGCTTAGAAACCCCTGGGCCTGGCCTGGGCAGATTGGGGGTCGGCATGGGTGGCTCTTTCATGGAGACAAAGAGATTCTTTTTACCATCTTCCTGCTTCTCTAGCTGACTACAACCCCCTCATTTTAAGATAATCTTCCATTTGCTTTTTCCAGATTACTTAAGAACCTATGCCCTTTACTAACAACTTTGAAAATCAGCAAAGCATTAAGCAGGAAATAACACCATCCTATAATCCCACAGCCCAGACTTTTGGGTTTAATTCATACTAATCCTATACATATACATTTTCCTTTCTGCCTTGATCACTCACAATGGTATTTGCTTTGGGGATCCTGATTTTCACTTAACCCTGACCTATCGGGAGCATTCCCCCAGCCTCTTAAAATCTCCTTGTAAACACCTCATTTATTGACTGCCTCCCATTCCTCTAAGGACCTGGGCTGTAATTTAACTTACATCTCCTCTCTTCTTTGGATGCTTGGGCCGTCTTCCTTCCCGTAACAGAGTTCTCGCCGCTAATCCGTGCCCGGTTGTACTGCCTCCACCCCGCATGTGTCCCTCGCTGCCCGCACCGGCGCTGCCCTTCCCACCTGTCCCCGGTGGAGTCAGGGTCAGGGTGGCTCTGTGGTGGGAATTCCCCTGCCTGCCCCACAGTTTTCTCAGCTGTCTGGTCCTCAAGGGTAGACTCTGGTCAGAGGCGCCACCTGTCCTGATATCTAGGACTTTCTTCTCCGGCCCCTGTGTCCTGGCCTTCTCCCACCGGTGTGCTCTCACTTCTGCCCCGGCACTGCTGCTCAGGTTCCTGCCAGCCCCCTTCCGGGGCCCTGGGCTCACACAGCTCTGCCTTCCAGGCTGGCGCACTCTCGGACGAACCCTCAGGTCCTGGACACTGGGTTGATAGCACAGGACATCCGTTACGCCGAGTGCCACTCACCTGTCGACTGGGACAAGCCCGATGGCCGCGGTGCAGAGCAGGATGACCTCTTCAGCTTCTGAGGGCCCTGGTGCTGGCGGGACACGTGACAGACCAAAGCCACTTGTGACGGCGTGGGGCCGGCACCGGGACCCCTGGCCCTCTTCTGCTGGGTGGCAGCGTTGTCAGCCTGCGAGTCACAGCTGCCTCCAGTCAAGCAGGGGGGAAGGAGGACATTTTTTTTTTTTTTTGGCTCTGCTGTTTCTGTAAGAACTGAAGGATGCCTTGAATATTTATTCAGTGACTCCTGGTTCAACTCAGAAGCCAGTTTTGCGTCTGGCACGAGCACAGTATTTTAACCAGCTTTCTGCCCTCTCTCGAGCCAGCTCTCTCTGCTGTGGGTGTCAGGACGGTGACCAAAGCATTTCTTGTCCCTTCTCCCTTTCTAAGGACCCAGATTTCCCGGGCGGTGCCCCCACTCCTTACCGAGCACAGGAGGGCCCCACAGCCTCAGGAGAGCGCTGTGTCCTCAAGTGTGCCTTCGGCCGGGGCCCAGCAGGCCTGCGCCCCCGCCTCGGGCTCCCCAACGGAGGGGCTGCCCCTGACCAAAGACGGTGCGCAGCTGGCACTTTAAAGCACACACAGCAGGTGTAGCCCTCAGGGGTTCCTCCACAGTGCTGTACTGCAGGGAGCTTTCTGTCTGCCCTGCCACAAGAAGGCCCGAAGTCCCCGTGAGTAGGCCCCATCGGTGCTGGGAACCAGTGTAATTGGCTGCCCACGGGTCCCAAGAGAGACTGCAACAGTGGGGATCGTCTGTGACTGCCCTCAGTCGGGGTCCCCCGCCGTGCTCTTCTCCCCGACTTGGACGGGCACATGCCCACTCTTCCCGTTGCATCCGCATGGGGGTCTCAGCTCCAACTCCCCACGCCTCCGGGGACAACGTGTGGCACCAAGACTTGGTCGGGACTGGACTGCTTTGTTGCCATTTTACAGAGGAGGAGACAGGCCCCGAGTGTGGAAGGGGTAGAGTGCAGAGTAGAAGTAGATCTGATGCCAAAGTTGCCTCTCACTCTTGCCTCTCCTGGCTCACACCTCCCTTCTTTCTGGCTTTGTTGTCCTCCCAGGAACCAAAAACCCCAGCTATTTTCTGACCAAAACGTGTTTCATAACAAACCATCTGGTGCCTTTCCACACACAACTGGCTTGAGCCTCCCGCCCTGCTAGCTGTCTGGCTGCCGATTTCCGCGGAAATGAAGTGTCGATGCTAATTGGGAGGGTGAAACCAAACCACACTCTGAAGCATCACGCTCTTCTTTCCTGGCTCTTGCCCCTGGGTCAGGTCGGGGCGTGGTGGTGGCTGGCTGTCCTCAGTCTCCTGTTCTTCTCCCACTTTACCCCCCGGGGCTCCCAGCAAAGCTGCATCTCCACCTGGAGGTGCCTCCTGGGCTTGGCTTTACTGAGCTCAAGTCACTGATGCTTGCAGGTTGCACCAGCCGGGGAAAAACACACGCCATTTCTCAGAGTCTACTTCTCCAAGCACTTGAATCGGTGCACAGAGACAGAAGTGCCTGGCCGAGGAGTGGGGGGCGGGATTCGTAGAGTCTTTACCAGATACGGGAATCTGTTCCTTTCCTTGCCCTGCTCCTGCACCTTGCCGCCCACCCCAGACCTTGGTGTGGGCCCGTGGATTTGTTGTGAGGCAGCAATGGGTGGGCCCAACGCCAGCTGTCCCTGGCACCAGGGTCCAGAAGCCCCGAGAGGCTGTGCTTTGTGTGTGTGTGTGTGTGTGTGTGTGTGTGTGTGTGTGTGTAAGAGAAAGACCAAGAATGGGACTTGCCTTCCTTTGGGTCCCTGGCTGACAAGCTGTCCGTGTGCCCCCATGTGTCTGCAGATGAGTCTTGTGCTTTGCTTTGTGTTGTTGTAAAAGACGTTCTCATGAGGAAAAGATGGAGTAATAAAGGTTCTCTTTTTGAACCACAAAGAGCACTTGGAGGGAGTGGCCCATGGCCTGGTGAGCATGAAGCTCCTGCCTTCAGTGGTTGCGGTGGCAATGACCACAGGCTGAGGTGTGGTGGGGGGAATGGTCTGTGGTCCGCTGGTGGAAGCCCAGCAGGTGGAAGCCTTCTCACCCAGCAGATGTGGCCATGGGGTTAGCTCATCTTGGAGGGCTTGGGGCCACACCAGCGATCTGGAGCAGTGGGACCTAGGGCAGAGTCTCCTGGCCAGGAGGATGGAATGTGCGTGTGATTATGTGTGGATCCACATGTGTGTTTTTCTTGGGGAGCATGTCCATCGTTTCTGTCACATTCTTAACGTGGGTCCCCAACATGCATTCATTACATGCATTCATTACAGGCTCCCAGTGGACTCCAGATGGCGGCTTTGGCATGACTGGAGACGGGGGTGGGGGATGGTGGAAAGAGTTTTAGTGATGTGGGAGACCCAAGGCCTCACTCAGGCTCTGACACTGGATCGATCACTTCTTTTTTTTTTTTTTTTTTTTTTTTTTTAAGATTTTATTTATTCCTTAAGCCTCGGTTTCCCCATTTAGGAAAAGGCTACTGCAAGTTTAAACCCTCCCACCTCCCTGGTTTTTGTGAGACTCAGAGGTAGCCATTTTGTCACTGGTGGCTGCTGAGATAGCTCAAAGTTTATCTCAGAGCAAAAGGCATTCAGACCCTAAGGAAATCAAAGTAAAATTTGACAATAAAGACAGCTGCTGTTAACAGAGCTCTTACCATGTGCCTGGGGCTTTGCTAAACTTGAACTCGTCTGAGCCCATTGCTTTTAGCTCCTTTTACTGCTGCGGCACCAAGGCTAGGGAGGAAGGCTGTCTTGCACCTAGCACTTTGCAGAGCCACAGGCCAGACTGATCTGTGGACCGTTGACCCCACCACGTCCTGACCTCCCTGGAGCCACACCTGGAGTCATGCTGCCCATGGCATCCTGTGAGCCCCACTGTGCCGGCCACAGAAAGGCTCCCTCCACAGGCTCCAGCGGAGGTCTCCAACATGTATCTCTTTGTCCCTTTTAAACAGCAGTTTTTAAAATGTCCAGAACCCAGAGGCTGAGCCCTCTGATGTCAGGCAGACTCACTGAATTCTGAGTGGATCATAGATGACTAAGAAATGCTCTCCTTTCTTCTCCTCCCATAATCTGAAAGGACATCCAACAAGTTCATCTTTCGGTATAAATTTGGCCAATGTCTTTAGTCTCCGGAGGTCTCAAATTATGACTCCCAAGCACCCGCCGTCTGCTCTTCCATGCATAACAGATGAAGCCAGTAAGAACAAAGTCGCCTTTCAGATTTGTTGTGACCTTCAGCTTCACTGGGTGGATGTCGAGGTCTTGTCTCCCAGGAGGAGACAGCATCCCAGTTAAATCTCTCCAACAACTTCTCAGTAAGCCCAGATAGGGAATCGGGGTGCTCTCAGTTCTGGCTTTCCTCCTCCTGCCTCCCCGTGTGTACAGATCACGGTCTGCTCGTCTGTTAGGGTGTGAACCTTTCTCCAGCGCTTCATATGTGCCAAGCCCTGTTAGGTCCCTTATGCCTAACACCGGTGGTACTAATTCTGACAACTGCACTATGAGGTGGGTGGTCCTAGTCCCATTTTCAAGATGGGACAATGGAGGCTCAGGGAGGACAGACATGTGAATTGACCAGTCTCTCAGCCAGTAAGGAGCAGACCTGGGATTTGGACCCCAGTCTGTCTGACTCCAGTGCTTGTCTAGTTCCATGACCCTACCCACCCTGTGGAGTGAAGGGTAAAGCCGAGCTGCCCATGCCCAGAAATGGGCAGCCTTGCCCACGGGGCACATGGGAGCTGCTGGCCAATGGGTGTCTCCATGGGCAGAGTAGCGGGGCCTGGGCCAGTCTAGGCACCTAAAGCGGGGTCCATCTCCCAGACTGGCCCAAACATCCCTCCTGCCTCTAACTAGGTAGAGGCAGGCGCTCTGGGGCTGCTGCTCAGACACGGCGGCTTAGGACTTGGCAAGTCATGCCTCATCACACCCCACCGCATATTGCCCCTAGTAGGCATTGCCCAGCCTGGGACCGGCAGGGAAGGGGTGGCCAGAGTGAGCTTTGTGGTCCCTCAGAGGGGGAAGATTTCCTCTGCAGGCAGACTCAGTGTGTGGCTGGTGGGGAATGGCAGCCTCAGAGGCGCCAGGAAGGGGAACCCCTTTCTGGAACCCTGGCAGCACCTCCACACATTCGCCAGTCGAAGCTGCTGCACAGTGACAGGGCTAGTAGGCATCATAAGCTCATTTTAGAGACAGTGAAACTGAGGCTCACAGAGCGTATGTGACTTCCCAGCCTCCCGCAGATGGTAAGAGGCAGGCCTGGGATTCAAAGCCTGTGTGTTCTCCCCTGCCCCAGTGTGGCTGTGGGTCACTTGGAACATTTGGACAATACCTTGCTTGCGTATTAGGAGCTCTGAGCAGAGCTCCCAGCACAGAGGTGCTGGATCAGGTTGGTGCCTTTGCTTCCAACCAGGACAGATGTGAGCTGTGTCACAAGTCTTGGTTGCCAAGCAACAATTCTGACTGCACCTGCTGAGCCCCCGCATGGGATGGGGCTTTCAGGGCCTGTCCTGATCTCTTTGCAGTCCAGGGGTTGTGGGTCACGGTGCCCTGGAGAGCTGGGCATGACGTAGGTTCGCCTTGCACCATGGGGACGTTGGAAGTCAGCTGAGGAAGCCAACAAGGGCTTCTGGAAGAGGGAAGTGTTCCTGCTAGGCCTTGAAGGAGAGTACAAAGGTTGGAGACTGCCTTGGTTACCCCGAGCTCTGGACAGCCAGGGCGTGGGTTTGAGACACCTGTGGCCCCAGTGCCCAGCATGGCACCTGGCACCCAGTGACCGTCAAGGACCACAGTCAGCTCACCAAAAAGGAGACAGCTGGTCTGGCTTCCTGTGAGACCCTGCTGAGGAGGGGTCAAGACCAGCCTCTGTGGCATGATGGCCCACTTTGCAGAGTATCTATCTGTTCTAGAGGCAAACCCGTCCCATGGCAAGCTCCCCCAGTTACCCTGGACCTGGCGTTCTAGCTCTCACACAGCCCCGCCTGGTTTGGGAAAACTCCTTCACCCTGACCAAAGATCTTGGTTTTTAAAATGTCTTTAGAGCAGGATTCTAGAATTTAGTGCCAGAAGGGCCCCTAGTGGTCCTCCGGGCTACCTACTTTGTTTACACCTGGGATGCTGAGGCCCATAGAGGGACAGGACTC